TACCCTTTTGAATATACAAGCTGTTGAAGTATGCCCTGTTGCTGTTAAGTGAACTCGTTAAGAAAAGTAAAGTGACATCAAACTGTTATATGAGGTTGAAGACCTTTCTGTTAGCTGTAAATGTAACATGAGAGGGGAGATCATTATAAGTGAGCGGTCACACATCGTGCTTCGTTTCGTTTTTTTGTCAAATCTGATCTTTGCATCACGTGACACAGCATCAACAACACACACACTTTCAGATCTGGTTTCTAATTAATTGCAGTGTTTAGTAGAGAAAAATGTTGGTGTCATTACCAGCTCATAATAAATTTATGATGCTTTATAATTTATTATGATTTACTTTTATGATAAGATAGGCTGTAATTACAGTGTCCTTGCAGTGTGTGAATGAGGTTTTATAATGCTAGTGTTTAACTAGCAATTAAAGTCGAATGTTATTGGAGCTAACCTTGGTGAAGGTATGATGTTATTATGGGAACGCTCTAAAAAAGAGTGCACTGCAGCCACCTACAATCAAAGATGATAGTTTCTCCAGTTATCCGCTGCCATCTCTTTATCTTTTCCTCCTCTCTCGCTAACCTGTTTTCATTCTTCCATCCCTTCTGTTCTCTCTGCCTTCCTCCATCTCCAACCCACTTTATGCCAAGTCCTCCCCTCTTTCTCATGTCCCTCTATCCGTCTCCCTGCCACTCCTCCAACTAATCATTTCTCCTGAGTGGGGCTAATTAAAGGGGATCTGACGGAGTGTGCTGACCACAGGAACATCAATCAATCTCTGTCCAACACAGCGAGCCCCCGCTGACTCCCCCAACCTGCTGCCAACGTGCACAACTCTGCAAAGGTTAATTGTATTCATTATATAAGGGACAGAGTGAAAGAGGGAGAAAGAGAGGGAGAGAAAGTGAAAGAATACTAACTAAAGTCACCCTGAAGGTTCTGGCTCTAGGGTGAATTCTCTCTAGGCCTCAGTGAGGTTAAACTTCGAGCAACGACACCACCTGTCAGATATTTCTCGCTCGATATCTGCTTCTTCTTCTCCAAACCACTGAGCGAGCTCACTTTTTTTGTAACAGTCTTCCTTTGCTGGCATCCCATTATCTATTCACCTCCTCTCCCTTCCATTTATGCATAGCATATATACGTAATTGTATTCATTTAGTTGATGGAACATATGAAAGGAGTCACACATCATTAATAGAGCCTACTGATTAGTTGATTAAGCCTTAACAGACTTTGGGCTAAAACTCATTTAGTCCTTCGGGCCCAAGTGGCGCTGCTGGTAATGAGGTTTGATACCACTTCATTTTTTTTTGTTATAGATATTAAAAGCCTTCCAGCACATCCAGCCATTTGTTGTTACGGCACTATATCAATATCAAAAGCACTACATTTAAAGAACAGAGTCGGCTTTCTGGACCTTTTCAAGCTATCGGGATAATTCAAAGAGCAAACTAGACAGTGAGTGGTTAGTGAAACTTCAAAAAGTGAGACACAAACTGGAAATGAAGAACTTTCATCTTCAAAGTAAAAACTGCATCTTTTGAATTGTGTTGGTTGTAGTTGCAAGTCGCTGCTTTTATTTTGAAGGGGTGAGTTTTCCATTTGCAGTTTAGGTTGCACTGCAAACTCAGTTTCATGTTTCGTTCCATGCAAACCTCTAGCTATCGCAACAATCTGCCATCAACCAACACAAACAAGCGCCATATACCGCATGCTTGGGACGGCCAGCAACCTGCAGCAGTCGCTCCCCAACCAGTCGCAGAATACATAGTCTTTCCTAGCAAACGATCGTTACCAGGGGGTCATTGACCAGTTTCTAATCAATGACCCCCTGTTACTTTGACACAGCAATCACTCACAATCAGTGGAGAAATGCACATTTTTATATTGTGACTAATGATTACCAAGTGGTTGCTGACAGATCTCTACTCTGTCCGATGGAGGACTTAAGAAGATTCCTTGTCCAACAGGATAATGGCATCCTCGTCTTTTGAAATTCACATGCAGAGATTTAAATGCAGAGTTTTTTTTATCCAACTAGCAGAAACCAGAATCCTGAGCACAGCACCATGCTCTTCTAGATATGCGCACTATGAATTAATTCTTCCTTTTCATGTGGAACAGCAAATCAACAGCTATCTGCTTATTTGTTGTCTTGCATGTTAAAGGTGGTGTGAAATTAAATTTTCTGACACATACATGAGAGACCGGTGACATAGAAAAAGCTGATTTGAAAAAGGAAAACTGTTGCAGATTCTACTTTCCAAAGCATGCGACTCAGTCGTTTAATGAGAATGAGTGATGGTGTTCTCGACCACCGTGTTTAAAACACCAAATTAGAGACTTAGTTCAGAGAGATTACACTGACGGCACACTAAAGTTGCTCTAGCAGCTCCTTCTTGGATGTTCGTTTTTCCTCACTATGTGAATATTTGATCAGTGTAGATCAAGTAAAATTGTTCTGAATGACCCTAAAGCAAAATAGATGCTCGTTTCTACTTTAAAGTCTGATTGTCAGCATGATCAAAATCACCAAATTTAAAAAATATATTCTAGCCTACTTCTATGTGGAAACTTTTTAAATATATTTATGTGCGTGTAATGCAGGAGGGTATGTTTTTGGTTAGCTTGCTTTAAAAACACTATTAGAAAATAGATATTTCTTTTTTCTTCTCTTGAGCCTTGAGCTCTCTGCAGTGCTTTTGAATCTCTTGATGCATTTTTAGTCAACTACAGAAGAGACCAGATGAGTGCTTTTCAGATATTTAGGTACCATTAGGCATATGTAACAGAGCATTTTTAGGGGAATAATTATTTTTGATGGCCTCTAAAATACAACTGCTTTGTTTGCAGTTATAGTTTTGCTTCTGTGAGCATCCAACTTCACTGCAAACAGCTTGTTGAATGCACTTCTGAACTATGAAATTGCTCTTTTTTTAACAAATAGTCTCACTTATGTTCTCGCCAAACACTGATTCATGACAAAAAAGCCCTGTGTAAACAAAAGGTTAAATCACAAAAAAACTTTTCAAACAAACTGCATGTGGTTACTATAGAAACCAGTACATACAATTACTAAAGGTTACTCTCAAACAATCTGCCTGGCAGTGCTCTAAGCATTTCTGAGCACATATCATGCAGGAATGTGACAGCTTTGCTGTCACACATGCTCCTAGTGGCAACTGTTTCACCTCCTACAAGTATTTATTTTGACAAGAGTGTGCTGTGCTAGAGTGACTTTCAAATTAAACATGTGCAACTGGCTGTAGGCTAACTTGCAACTTCTGCATGTTGTGCTGCTATGTAACATGCCATTAGAGACTGTCCGTGCAACCACTTTAACAGCCGGCCGCTCCTTGTAGCTCCCTCAGTGCAGTCATTTCTTTTAGTTATTGGAAGGTTTTAGGACGTTGACACCTGCCGTTTTGAGGTGTGCCTGATCTCTAAAATGAATTGCCCTAATCCATTTCGTATCCTGGTGCTATTGAAGTTTTCTCTCACAGACGTAGCCAGGTGTTTTCCAGATATTGAAAAGACACAAGCACACAATCAAGTATCACTTTGCAAGTAATGAAAAAGGTTTTTTTTGGCTGCTCCCTTATTTTCCCAAGGGGCTGCCATGGTAGATGGATCCCCAAATTTGATTTGGCACAGTTTTTTATTTTATGCCAGTTGCCCTTCCTATCTGAACCTTCTCATTTGTCCGGCAGAAAGAGTACACTGTCTTCTCATCTTTTGAGGGTGGATTTGTGTCTCCTCCTAGTCTCAAACTGGGGATGCCCACCACTATACCACATATTCACCTATTAGCTTTCAGGTAATCAATTTGGTAAACAATTGATACCCTAACAACTCAATTTAAAAGCTTTTTGTTCTACAGAACACAATTAGAAGTTCAATGTGCTTGAAACTTTTTAAAAGCAAAGGTCTATACCTGCGTTGAATGAACAGAAAGTCATTGTTTTCTCTTTATGGCTTCATCAAACTGCCCATTCTCACTCCCAGCTTGTCATAAATCAATGCTTTCAAAGGACCTTTTGGCTTTATATTTAAACGCATTGGTTAAGCGGCATTTTTCAGCCTGCAGGGTTAATGTTAGGATGTGATCTAACTTGGAAATGAATTTGAAAATAAAAAATTAGTACACAAACCATCATCTCCTCACTAGCCTTTTCTGAACCAACTTCCAGATGCATACTTTGTTCCTCATTAAAAGAGGAGCATTATCTGTTGGCTTCAGAAATTACAGCAGGTGGTGAGTCAAGGCACTGATGCCAAAAGAGCCCTTACGACACCAGCTGAGTCTGACAGAATGACAGCATTTCACACTATTTAAGTCATTTTTAGGTGTGTCTTTGCAGTCTAATTGCAACAAAACAGGGACTGTTTTAATGCAGTCCTTTCTCAAGCCAAAACCTTAGACACCTTAGCAAGACAGTGCTAAGTGTACACTTCTATCCTTGCAAAAAGTACATGTCACTCTGCCGCCACCTGGCACCGAGACAGTACTGCTATCACAGCTGGACACCGAAGTCAAGGTCATCGTGAGAATGTCAGCTGCTGAAGACATGAGGCTTCAACCTTTGTCCCAGGGGGGTGTTCTGTTTGTCTGTGTGTGTGTGTGTGTGTGTGTGTATATTTGCATAAAAGACATTTTAATGCAGGTGTTTGCTGTCTGAGCTTAGTGCCTGTGTCTAAGTAAGTGTGTGAGGGATGGCTTCACTGTGATGGCTGGGTTAGCCTCTCAAGTATCATTATCGGTGGAATAAACAACAGCTAAGCTGCGATGTCCTCAATGCCCTTGTTCTTCTATTAGATAGTCTTAAGTTTGTGTATTTAATGTGTGTGCGCACTCAAATACTTTTCAGCTTGTTCGTGCCTATAAATTAAAAAACTTCTTTGAATTCTACTTTTGTCTTAATTAGTTTTTTTTTTAGTTTATTAAGAGTTAAAAGTATTTAAATCTTTTTCTCGTGTGTTTCTGTGCTTGTTAAAAGGTACCTAATCCCTTCACTGGACCGCTCCCATGCTGGCTTTTACCGCTGTATTGTGAGAAATCGGGTGGGAGCCCTTCTGCAGAGGCGCACAGAAGTACAAGTGGCCTGTAAGTATTAACACAGGACGCAGCTGAAGCACAGATCCAACGAATGAATAAACGGCTGTCTAATAGACACATGCTGATTTAAGCGAGAGAAAGCGTGTGCGCTTAACTGCAGCAGTTTAGTACACAGTAGGCCCACGCTATCTTTGGGTGCCTTTGTATCAAGGACTGACTAGGGAGGGACAGATGCTGGCAGGGTGAAAGATCTACCTGCATCTCATTCAGAGTGTTATCATCCCAGACAGCTGTTCCACTCAGCATTCTCATTAGATTGATATTGTTGCCATGGTTCTTTTTAACTTTGCTTCATTTCAATATGACCGCTGCTTTTTTCATTCTCTCTCCTTTGTCAACAACATCTGTTGTTTCTTTGGCAAAAATAGAGCTCCCGTGCACAGTGTTTCTGCAAATTTTCACATTCGTTTTCAGGCCACTCAGCTCCCTCGTCTTGTTAACGAGCTATTAGAGTGCCACTGAGGTGTCTGGAGTGTTGTCACATCAAATCCACCCCCCCTTCCCATATACACAACTTGTCCATTATCGTGCTTTACTAGGGTATGCCTGGTTCTCTTGCTTCCCTGTGTTCCAGCCACATTTGAATGGATGTAACGTACAGCTGTACCTGTCGATGCACTCAACCAGCCACTAAAGAGAAAGAAATGGGAGGGTGATAGGAAATTGAGTCCCACGGGTCGACTTCTCTCGTATTCGGCAAACACACTGTTGCCGAAGCCTCTCCTCCAGCAGACGGACTTTTTGTGGCGTCCATCATTGGTTCTGTTTGTTGTTTCGGCTTCCTCCCTCTCTTGACTTTGTCATCTGGCCACCACTGCTTTCTATTTATTTCTTGGCCTCCACCCTGCTGTTATTTCAGTTCCTATTTATTCCCAACACTTCCCATTTCCATAATTCTCTTCTTCCCTCTCAGTTGCTCATGAAGTGGTATGGATGGTGACGCAGAGTAAAAAGGGAGAATTAAGGACACCTGCAAAAGGAATGGATGAGCTGGACAAGGGGGGGAGAGGGAGAAGAAGAAAGAAGGAAGGATAGATGGAGAGATTTCTTCTAGAAACTATTCTATTGAGGCAGCACAATTAGAATTGCAGAGACACACCTCAGAGAAAGGGAAACATGCCGAGGCATTAGAGATTAGGGAAGAAGGGGAGGAGGACATCACATCACTGAAACTGCAGATCAAAGTCGGGGGATTTGCACACTTCCCAGATTTTCATTTAAGCTAAGCACCACAGCTGCAGCGTAAAGCCAGATTACCTTTTTTTATTCTCTTGAAAGAGAGTGAGGAAAAATAAGTCTGCCATCGATTCACAACCACCGCAGCATCCTCGGTTCAGACTCCCTCACCTTCATCCCTGAATGTTCCCGAGATATTATCTCCAAAATGTGTGTCATAATTGGGTTTTCAATGTAACATTTTATTTATTTCTGCCTATTGTTCCCCTTTAAATCACGGAGGCAAATATATGATCTTTGGAGAAAAATAATGCTGTGACTGTGTTTCAGACTGTGCTGGAGGAGGAAAACATAAAGTCTATTTGTTACTGTTGTCCTGTAAAGGTTTACAATCAGCATCTGCTAATGTAACAGCATAGGGGAATTTCACAACCCACAACAGATGAATTTATAGCTAGTTGATAAATTCCCATTAGAAATCGGGAGTGGAAAGGGAGGGGAGGTGGTAATATTAGTCCAGCGTTTTGTCAGCTTTTAAGATATAATGAGGCAAGGGATGAATAAAAATACTCTAACAAATGAAATATATTACGAGATAATAGAGAAGCGGCATAGCTGGTCATCTACTATGTTGCGCAATGCACAAATTTAGTGGGTGATCAAGATTGATTGCCTTTGATGCATCCACACAGGAGGATATGGGATATGAATATTAGTCAATTTAGCGTCCCTCGATGTCCCTCTGTGAGTCGTTACGTGCCGGTTCCTTCTAGCCTTGCTTGATGTACCATGGAAACCATGGCAACAACACTTTGCTGTCCATCAAATAGCTATAGTGTGAAATTTCACGATAGACAGCAGATGACAAAAGCTCTGTGGTTACCAAAAGTCAAAGAAGAAGAAAGCAAGAGTAATTTGTTCCTGCGACTGTCAGTCTCACTCTCTTGTTCTCTCTTGCTTCCCTTGTTTTTGTCTGTGTATTGTGTGTTTTCCTTTAGTTATGGGCAGTTTTGAGGAAGGCGAACGTACCCAGTCAGTCTCTCAGGGAGAGGGTGCTGTGATTCCAGCACCACGCATTCGCAGCTTCCCTCAGCCACAAGTCACCTGGTTCAGAGATGGGCGCAAGATTCCACCCAGCAGCCGCATGTGAGTTTTCTTCTCTTGTTGTTTTTCTGTTTTTTTGTTCGTTGGGCCTTTTGTGTCTTATTTGGCTTTTCTGTTTGACTCTAGAAATACTTTTTGGGGTTTGTTTTTTTTTTCTTTTTTTTTTCCTTTGTCCCTGAAGGTGTTTGAGGGCTTTAGTTTGAGAGCAGCTGTTCCTACCTGTTGTTTGTTTTTCATCTTGCTAGATTTTGTGCTGAAGGACAGCTTGAATTTCTTCTACAGAACAAGGGCTGAAGACAAAACGGTTTCAGCACTCTGTGTGCAATGGAATATCTCTCGTCTTACACATTTTTTTTTTCAATTTTGTAAGAAAACCCTTTTCTATTTCCTTATCTACGTCTTTTTCTTAATGTTGCCCATTGTCTGTCTTTATTTTGTTGTTTTTGTTGTTTTTGTTTGCCAACCAACAGCAAAATCATGGTCTGACAGGGCTATGGAGCACTGGGCCTCCTGACAGCCTATTTGTTTTGCACATTCTGGTCACTTAAAAAGGTAGAATGCAAATATGAAGGTAGATTAGATGAAGTGCTTTCTTCACTTTAACGTGCTATGTGGCCCAAGAAAGAAGCAGATACAAACTTTGTTATTTTATTACTAATTGAAAATGTACTGCATCTGTACACTGTCAGCACAACCTGACAACTACATTTCCCAAAATGCAACTTGACTGTTTGGTTTGGGCATTTGCATGTATTATGTTAGTTTTGCCTAAAATATCTGAGTTACTTTAGAATATTTTTCCACAAATATACAGATGTGCTCCAAGAACATTTGACAGATTAATTAAGATTGTTCCCCGTGATGCTACACAGGCTACACCTCCACACGGTAGGGTTTTAACTTTATCTTTCAGTGACTGACATTGTACTGAGGTTACTCACATCTTTGTGCGGGGGATATTTGTGTGTACCAGCGTGTGCGTTAAAAAGTCACTTATCCCGTCTCATCACATCTGCATTTCTTCACAGTGGGAGGTGACCTTGCCCTTAGTTAGAGTGAATCTTTCTTATCAGCTTCTCATCATCAGTAATCATCCCCTGACCTAGAATCACAATGAGACAAATGCCCAGGCGTACTGAGAAGATGCAGGTTGCTGGCCACCGGTAGCCTGATCGGTCTGTGTTTTTAAAGAATAGTTTTTTTAATAAGAAGGTTCTACAAAATAAGTTGAACTTCTTATTTCTCTCAAGCTGGTGCGGTTGTGTTCTCTGACATCGTTACAGCTGGTTCCTTATTTCTCAGGTTTTTTTGTAACCTGGTGCGCGCTGTGCAGATAGAGCGAAATGGACAAGCTGAAGGCATGAGCGAGCCCGTCTTTACGGGCATCTCTATAATCCATCAGTGTGGGAGTATAGGAATTCCCAGATGGCATTGAACTTGTGTTGGAAGATTGGTGCTTCAGCTAGAAATGATGAGACGTTCTGTGGAAAGTTATTGAAAAACAGCATTGTATTTGTCTTTGAATTATGTACTTCCTCTTTCTGTGGCGCAGACTGTAGTTTTCTCAGCAGTATGCTGTTCTTTTAGAAGATCTTCAGCAAATCAGTGAACCTCATGCACGACTATAAAAGGTTATGCTTCTCTGTTGACGTCAAAGTGGCATGTGCAGTGACCAGTGTGTCAGGCATAATAGCGGCTTCATTTGCCGTTCTGTCGCTGTCTCCCTCCTCTATCTCTCTCCCTTCTTTTGTCTCCATTATGGGCCACCCGCTGTGTGTACTTTGCTGCTCTTCATCCTCACTTCCTACCCCGCAGCTCTGAGAATGCTAATACCACATGCACTACCAAGGTCACAGTGTGCAAATGAGCACTGTTGATAACAGGCAGCCTTTTTTATTGAAAATCATTTAATTGAATTTGATTCATGCCACTAGCGTTTACTCTGTAGAGGCATCAAAGTCTCGCTAGTGGAGGAGAGAATGAGGGAGTGCGACTGAGTGAGTTGCACCAAACCACAAGTGTTGCCGTCATGAAGGCTCTGTCTCTCTAAATCTGTCACATCGTTATGCATTTCTTCAGACGTTCTCTTGTTGTAAGACCACCTGGAAGATCTCGGTGTGCCATGTGTTACAAGAGTTATATAGTGGAACAAGCTAAAGTGGAATGGCGGTGAAGGAGAACGAGGACTGACAAAAACATGCCATGGATTAGAACCAGGGTGACCATTTCCCCTAATTGTCTCCTGCTCTTGCTAGCCATCCTAAGGTGTCATAAGTTTAATTTACAGGCTCCTCAGGGGTCTGTCTTGCTGCTTGTCTGTGCTCTTTTTAATCACGCCCCTACAAAAGAGAAAAGAGCAAAAACAATCAGATCGCTCAAAAAATGTCGAGGCTCTCATCCAACCAATCTAATACCTAATATAATTCACACTCGCTCTGGAGGCTGCAGTACGACCAATTTATGTTTTTTTTTTTTGCATTGTGCTTTCATTTAGTTGAAATTCTGGGAGTTTCCTCAAACTGTGTCGTGCAGTTCGAGAGTTCTTGTGTGATATTTTTTGTACGTGGTAGAAAGGTGAGAGAAGCTGAGAAATCACTCAAGGATGACACTTGTTGATTGCAAGGACTCTTGTGAGGTGCTCTAGGTCTCAGGTTGGGTACACATATAAAAATACACATCTCAGGAGAACAAGTACATACCTCAAAATGTTTGTATTTATAGCTGTATAAATCTTTATCTGGCTGCAGAGTTGAATCCATGATTCAAATGCAAATCTTTCGAATACATAGGGAGGATGTCTGGAGAATAGAGAGTAATCCTCTATATACAGGATAAGATTCAGTAATATAGATTATAGGCAAGATTCAGATATCTAAGTATTGATTAATCAAAAAACTGGTGGAGCATGCAGCTGCTGTACAGAACATGGTGCAAAGTGTGTACTAAATTTCCACTTACTAAGCTGTTTGGCTCCTAGGCATCAATTTTCAATAAGTGATGTTGAATGTTTTTAGACCACTTTTCTCAGTACACACAACACCCACATCATCACATGCTTAGCTATGAAGCTTACAGAACTTGCAGTTCAGTCCTCAGGTCTTTATACCTCACTGTTCACAATAAGGAATTGCTCAGATTGGATCATGTCCTCACCTCATCTTGTTGTCCATAACACCCCACACCACAGTCCCGTCCTGATTCGCCTCATGTTTCCTATTTTGGCTTAAACTGCGGATGTCTGTGGCATTTTTATGTCCTTTGGCCACCCACAGCTGGGAACTGAATTTACTCTTCAGAAAGAGTAAATATGATCTAGTGGATGTGTGCAGAGAGGAATGGATTTTGGGTGCAAATCAAGTTCATTTCAAAAAAAAAAAAAAAAGAGAGAGAGAGAAAGAAAAGGCTAGCTCACAGTCAGCATTCGATATTGGAATGCTGCTGACAGCATAAAATGCCCCCTTCAGTTTATCAGGGACTAGGGCAGTGACTGTTCAAAACATGCCTGTTCAAAATAGCCTGATTGCTTGGCTTCCAGTCTTGCTATTTGCAGCTTTCTCAAGATCATAGACCAAGCGTTCACCCAAACTCATTCAGAGTCGGCACTGGCTTTGTAGATTAGCAAATATTAATATTCACACTTTAAGAGGCTGACGTCTCATTAGGTATGACCAGCACTGTTCAAAGAGAGAATTAACCCTGGGCATAATATGGCTGTAACGAATAGAACGTGTTTACTTTCTTACGCGGGGTCAATGATGAAATATTTAGGAAATCCATTTGAAGGAGCTGAAAGATGCTTCTTTGAATAACTGAAATCGTATTGAGTGGTTTGTTTTAATACCAGAGCGTACCATGTCCATTTAAAACATGTAAAACAAATAATAGAATTACAATCCTGGATCCCGTTCTGGCTGATCTGGCACCGATTATTTCAGAATAATTGCATGATTATTTCAAAATGTGGTTTGAGTAAAGCACACTTCAGCACTCCAAATTCTGATTGTGATTACTGGTTTGACAGTCATTTCACAACTCTGGTTCTGTATAAAACCTCTCAAAGACATTTTTGGGATTCTTATACAACTTGACGGTCCCGACTGTCCATTACGGGTCAAATTCGAATTTGTTATATATTTTGGTTTATGCCATCTAAAGATGGTAATGGGGAAATATGTGATACCAGCTGAACATCATTATGTTAGTAGTATGAACACACCACCCAGGCCTTGAATGTGTAAACTTAATGAATGCTGCATTTTTGCTTCCCTGCTGCCAATATTCCCCTTGGCAAGGCTGCGTCTTACTGTGGCACAGTGACTGCTCACTTTCTGCAATGTGACTCGTGCAGCTGCTGGCCTCGGCGTGGGCAGAGACTCCTTTGCTCTCTAACAGTACGCCCATAAGCTCACGGAATCACTTATTGATGCGTTTGTCTCTTACAGTCTTTGCTGTGCTCATGTTGTGTACTGCCCAGGTTCAAAGCACATGTCCTTGTTTGACTGTAAGCTGAAATGTGCAACCAGACATTGATCTAGCTTTGCTTTAATGAATCAGTTCAGTCAGGGTCTTTTTGTTACAATATATGAAACAGGTTGCAAGGAGAAAAAGAACTTTCTAATGGCTGACATTCTTCTCTCGGTGAATGGAAATGTAGTCGAGAGGATCTTCTCCATTCAGCTGCTGTGATTTGTTATGCTATTTTGGAGACTTAATGTCGTGTGTAATCAGAGCCTCTTTTAGTTAAATGCATTTGCCAGGAATTGTGTGGCTCCTGGCTGAAAGGTGAGTCTGTCGTTAGATATAACGCTGGATTCTGTCCTCACTTTTTCACATCTGACAACAACTCACTACCCACTACCTGTTGTTTTTCTCCCAGAAACTTTCTATTGACATTTTGGCATGGATTTACACCGAAACAACCTTGTAGAGGTGTCTGTTAAGACAGAACACAGAGGAGCCTGACCTGGAGGAGTCAGTGGGAGGACATCGTTGAGACACATACACACACACTGCAGTTCGCTTGAGTAATTCGCTGTAGCTAC